AGGAGGGGGAGAGAGAGAGAGAGAAAAGAAAAAAAAAATCAACTGATAGAGTTCATTTAGAAAGTGGCCACAGGGGCCAGGGGTTCTATCTCAACTCGCCCCCGGGGCATGCTGAGACAGCAAATGAGACTGGATGTGGTGGCGTATGCTTGTAATTCCAGTGCTTGGAAGGCTGAAAAACAGGATCACTACAAATTCAATCTGTGTAGTGAGATCCTGTGGACCCTGTACTAAATACATTAAAAAAAAAAAAAAAAAAGTGGCAAGTGATGCCTACTTGATAAAATATATTCCAAACATTAAAATTTTAAATAAAAAAATTACATCATAGCAATTAAATTAAAAGCTGCTTAGGAACACTGGCTGTGTGCAGGCTTGCTCATGTGCACGCTAGGGTCTAAAGCCAGGGCCTCAGGTGAGTCAAGTACTCTACCACTGAGCTGCATCTTTAGTGCTCCCCTACCTAAGAAAAATATCATGGGCAAAAATCAAGAGCCAAGCAATTATTTAAAAATTTAAGAATGGCCAGGATTGGTAGTAGAAGTCTATAATCCCAGCATTCTGGAGGCTGAGGCAGGAGGGTCACTGCAGTTTAAAGACCAGCCAGAAATATAGTGAAACCCTTTCTCAAAAAAACTCTTTTAAATATTTATAAATATAAAATACTATAAACAAAGTTTTAAACTTTAGCAGTACTAATATACTAATAAACCTACATGTGTAGGAATTAGCACCTATACACAAAGAAGTCTGAGAAAAGGTGTAGTAGCTTGGTGATATTTTTAGAAGTCAAAATTTCCAGGAACTAAAGTAAAAATCTTGCAATAACATAAAAGGTACTATTGATGGGTTGATGCAAGACAGCCCCAAATCTGGAGAACTGTTAGGGAAGAGTGACAGGAGTGAAAGGCTTCCCTAAAGCCAGAGGATTCTGAATTAACACGCAGGCCAACCAGGTCAATTCAAAACTACCACAAACTAAGAGGGAAAAGCTTAGTATTAACATTAAATTAGCCTACAAAGTAATCTACTTTAATTTCATACAACAAATAGTCACAAAGATTCAGGAAAAAAATATAAAGGAAATTTAGTCCAAAATTATGGTCTAAGAAAAACTTGAAAAGCCACGCAAACTAACACTTGTAAACTGACACACACAAGGAAGTGCTTGCATTTCACTTATGCTTGGAACTGTTCCATAGCAGTCATTATTTTGTGAAAAACTCCAAAAATGAAAAGTCTTATTATCAGGGGAAGTTTGAATATGATATAGGAAAAGTGAAAAAGTGCTCCAAAAGTCTAAGTAATATAATTTCACTTGTTTTAAATGTTGTGTAACTATGTTATACATGAATATGTACACAAAGCTGAAATGACAGTCAACAGAATGTTCACAACCATGGTGTAGGATTTACACCTCAAACTTTTCACCTCTATTGTCATCACTTTCACCTAGATTTCCATAAAATGTTGGTAGAATTAGTCTCTTCATTATCATTCTTGTTCCCCTCCAATCAACTGTCTGCATAGTAGCCTGATGATCGTTTTAAACAGTTCACTGTATCAGGCCACTGCTTTCAAAAACCTTCTCGATGGCACCACCATTCCCTCAGCCACAGCATGAAATCTTCAGTGTACCCTACAAGTTCCTAGGCCACCTGGATGTGCCTAACCTTCTGACAGTTCCTAGGTCACCTGGATGTGCCTAACCTTCTAACCCTACCTCTCACTGGTCTTTTTGGCCTGTCTGCTGTTCTGCCACCGAAGCTTCCTCATAGGGCATGACTTTTGTTGTACAAATATCCTGCTGTCTCCACATGAAGCATCAGTTCTGTGATTCTTTGGCTGGTTAATCTGTAACTCAGATGATGTCACTAATACATCACTTCCTCTCTTGACTCAAACTAAATTCCCTCTTGTCATACTTCCCCATGACACACAGTTTTCCCTCCACAAATAGCATCAAGACAACCATCCACTTGCTTAACCAGCCATTTGTAAATATGTCACTCCATTGCTGTCTACACTCCACAAGGTAACCAAAGTGATCAAGTGCACAGCATTAGATATATGTGGCATGATAAAAATTATAGTAAATGTTAACAATTTTCAAAAATTAATTATTGTATAATTATAATAAAAGCCATTTAATTGCCCTCAAAATACTCCCCCTCACTTATCTCATCATTTTTGCCATTTTCTGAGGCAGTTCCAGAAGTTATTTTGTGAGTTATCTTTATTTGAGCTGTCATGGCTGCCTTAATGTCCTGAACTGATTAAAAATGTTTACTTTGGGGAGGGGGGTCATTTTGAGACAAGGTCGTGTTATGCAGCTCAGGCTGGCCCTGGGCTCAACTTTCAAGCCAGACTGGCCTCAAACTCGCTGTGATCCTTCTGCCTCAGGGATTACAGGCATGTACCACCACGCCAGGCTCAAAATGTTTACCTTTTGTCTTGGTCATTTTGTTACTGCTAGGACAAACTGTCCAACTCACACCTCAAAGGAGGAAAGGCTTATTTTGCTTCATGTTTTCAGCACATGGCAGGCTGGTTCCAAGGCAAGACAGGCACGGTGAAAGGC